TTGATTCATTATATCTTCATTATCATTGCACATATTTTGAACTGATTTGCGCCATTTGGTCAAATAAGATGAGTGGTTTAGTGGCACAGAGCAACGATAACGCAGCACAACATCCCAGAATGCATTGAGGATAATGCTTGTGCTGCTGATGTCCTGCTAAACGATCTCACTTCCCGGAGAATGCCAATAAAGACAATAACATAAAAAATTAATGAATTAATGTTTTTATGAATGAGTGTAGCATCCTGGAGGATGTCATTAATAATAATAATAATAATAATAAATATTTTTCTAACATCCTGGAGGATATCATTAACATTAATAATAATAATAATAATAATAATAAATATTTTTCTAACATCCTGGAGGATATCATTAACATTAATAATAATAATAATAATAATAATAAATGTTTTTGTAGCATCTTAAAGGATGTAATTAATAATAATAATAATAATAATAATAAATGTTTTTGTAGCATCTTAAAGGATGTAATTAATAATAATAATAATAATAATAATAATAAATGTTTTTGTAGCATCTTAAAGGATGTAATTAATAATAATAATAATAATAACAACATTATTGTGCAATTAATAATAATAACAGTAATCATTTATTAAAAAAACTAACATGACTCTTATGTCCCTCCTTTTTTCCCATCTTCGGGAATTTTAAGATATTTTGCTTCAGGACAGCGAGTGGTGCTTGCATTTTTAAAACTTGCCACAATCATGCTAGCAATTTGTCAAAATCATTGAATAATAGCAGACAATTAATTGATTAATTTAGGGTTGGTAATATTGAGTTAGTTTGTTAAGTTTACCAAGGATGCATTTAATCACAAATACAGTAAATGGCAATATTGTGAAATACTATTGCAGTGTAAAATAACTGATTTATTGTATTTTAAATAACAATTTATTTCTGTGACAACAAAGCTGAATTTTCAGCATCCTTTTCAGTGTCACGACATGATCAGAAGTCAATTTATCATGCTTTTTTTTTTGCTTTTTTTTTATCATGCTTTACTGCTCAAGAAGCATTTCTTATAATAGTAATTATAAATATTAAAATCAGTTCTGCTGCTTAATATTTTTTTGTGAAAACCATGTGTATATATTTTTTTCTTTCAGGATTCACTGATGAATAAAAAAGTTCAAAAGAACAGCATTTATTTAAAATGGAAATCTTTGTGTATTATAAATGTAGCAAAAGTATTATGTAGTAAAAGATTTTGCCACCCCTATTTCCTTAATGAAAATGCAAATCTTCAGGTAAACCTTTCAGGTAAGGAGCGCTAGACACAATGACCTTCTTTTCCTTCACCTTAATTACAGCCGTCACAATGTAGTGTAGTAAAGGTCAGAGCAAAGTAAATGACTTACTCTGAATACGAATGAGAGAAGTGCTTGGCTAGCAGAAAGCTGGACAAGGAGAGCTGTGGGCAATATCAGCACATATAGGTTCTATTTAATGCCATGTCGGGATGGCTGGGGACCAGATTCAATTTTGTGGGAAAGGCTCGTATACATGCCTAACCTTTTGTGGACTGTCATCGTCTTTCTCTGGAGCCCCTCAGTCAGCTTACATGATGTGACAAACCCTCACATGGGGCTTCCTCTGCACTGCTGCAAACCGTATTGTGTGTGTGAGAGCATTTGATGTCAGTGTGTGTTGTCATGGCCATCTCACTTGCAGTGTCTAATGAACCATGGACCTGAACAAGTGCAAAGGGCTTCCAGTTAAAGCAAAACATAAAAAAAACATGCAAGACCACATCATTTTAATGCACAAATCCATATACAGGATAGTCATTTATCTCAAATGGAGTACCATATAGTATGAAGGGCCCCTTAGGGCCAATTGCATAAACATAGCCACTATGTTAAGACTGTGCCTTAAGAACTAGTTTGACCAACTAGCAGTTAACCAAGAGGTCTTACTTTTCAGATTCAAATTAGACCAATCTAACATTTTGCAACAACTGAATTTAGAAAGTTAATGACCAGTCTTGAAGAAAAAAAATTAGATGACTAACTTCTTAAGACTAGTCTAAACAGGTTATGCAACTGGCCCCAGAATGTACACAAGTACACAAGTGGAAATCATAGTTACTGTATGCAGTGAAGCATTTAATATCTTGTTGTGTTCAAAATGCAATACTTTAAAGAAAAGAGTCGCACCGCATGACACTTTACATCCTGAAATACGTCTTTTACATCTTGCAATTCTGACTTTATTAATTACTTTATTTAATTATTGACTTTTTTATGTTCTATATGTTGGTTGGCCCACATGACTTTGTTGGTTGCACCACATGACTTTTGAATGACTTTGGGTGGATAAAAGCAGCAGTAAAGCAGTTTTGATCAATATTTTTTCCACTAATGTTTATTAAAAATAATCTTCTACAATAATAATAATGACAATAATAATAATAATAATAATAATAATAATAATAATAATAATAATAATAATAATAATAATAATAATAATAATAATAATAATAATAATAATAATAATAATAATAATAATAATAATAATAATAATAATAATAATAATAATAATAATAATAATAAT